GACAGACAGACAGACAGACAGACAGACAGAGACAGAGGGGAGGGGGTGAGATAGAAAAGGGGGGCGGCACGGTATAGTTTACAGTTGGCCATCATCAGTTTAACAAGGAGAAAAGGTTGGTCATACACACGTACACACGTAAATCAACGGGTATTTCAAAAAATCTTGTCACATGGAAAGAGTAAGAGGGAAAAATCTCTTGATAGACAGATTAGAGACACGTATCTAGCTTTAAGTAAGACAAAAAAGTATTTGTTAACTGGACTCTATAAGTACATGTATCTTACAAAGGATCCATAACTAGACGGTCAGTACAAGAACGTATAGATCCATAATAATGACTTGAGTATGGCATAGAGCACAACCGGTAACCAAATAGGGTCTACCCACCTGCAGTCCTCTTACGTTCGAATTCTCAACATTTTTGTGTTTATGAATTTGACTTTTTGAAGATCACAGGAAGAGCCAGCTTTATATGGTCCAGTGGCAGTTGTAACTACAACGCACCCATAAAGAGAAAGAGAGAAGGGACAGAGAGAAAGAGACCGAGTAAAACAAAATTATTAATGTGCCTTGTTCCAAGGTTTGAACACGGGTTTCCTCGTTAGGTCGATTCTCCCCACTGTTCGACCAAAACAAGGTAACTGTGCTGGGGCTGCCAGAGGAATAACAAGAGGCGGAGAGAGAGAGAGAGAGAGAGAGAGAGAGAGAGAGAGAGAGAGGAGAGAGAAGAGAGAGAGGGGGAGGGGGTGGTGGGACTGTGGGAGTGAGAGGCGGGTTGATCTGGAACGTCTTGTCTCGGGTACCAGGCAGTCCGTCAGTGCCGTGAACGGCCAGTGGCAGCAACAACGCTCTCGCCACCCGTTTGGGACCACGTACGATATTACAGGCCTCAGTTGCTGCAATTATCAACACCAGACCAAGTGGGGTGTCGTGGTGAAACCAGGCGCTTGTCAAAATAGTGATATCGAAGAAACTGGCATTTTTCAGTCCGTTCGAGCAATTTTTGTCGATTTTTTTTCTCCTCTTTTTATTTTTGGCCCAACAACGTTGTTGTCTGTTAAAACACACACACACACACACACACACACACACACACACACACACACACACACACACACACAAACACACACACACACACATACACACACACACTTCTGTGTTGATTTACTGATAAAAGTTCATCAATGGCACAAAACAGTACATTTGCAGTTTCCAACCATTTTCTCGCCAATTTTACGACTGACTCCAGGCGATCTCCACCCCCTTCAACCGCAAATATTTCTCGAATTCTATTCAAGATAGATGATGATTTCTCTAAACAAACGCAAGAAAATAAACTAACTTTAAGATTATACCACTAACTCCATACCGAAAAACTGATGAGCACCTGATTCCATATATATCGTGTCGTAAAACAATGATAATAATAAATATTCTTTTCCGTTATCCTTTTCGGAGAATTGACCTTCGTTAGAGAGTAGCTGGCGCTCATACACAATATAATCTAACACCACTTTTTAAAGTGGGAAATTTTGGTTTGCAATGAAACACAAGCACACATAAATAGATGGATTCAATAATTTATATTCGACTTTACGTGCCACATGACACGACACAAATACAGACAATCAACAGACCACTGCTGGTGGCCTCTGTACAGCGTCCTGTATTTGTTTGAAGTTGTTTTTTTGTTTTTTAGTTGGCTTATCGTGTCTTGCTAAAGGGCACCTCCCAGCGACCATCCATCTAACTGCTAGATCTATGGTTGGCCAACTATGTTATACAGGACGAGATAGTTATCAGGAGGAAGGCCGGGGGGGGGGGGGGGGGGTTGGGTGACAAGACAGAAAATGAAAGAAAAGGGGGGAACTAATTAAGGAGGGAATTAATGGGGGGGTGGGTGGGGGTGGGTGGGGGAGAAAGAGAGAGAGAGAGAGAGAGAGAGAGAGAGAGAGAGAGAGAGAGAGAGAGAGAGAGAGAGAGAGAGAGAGAAATTTTAAAACTTTTGCGCCTTTTAAAAATTGTATGGGGGTTTTTTTTTTGGGGTTACCCCCGCACGTGTTAAAGGGGGGGGACCTGGAAGAGGGCATTTCCCCGGGGGCCCAGAGTGCGTTTGTTTCAACATTATTAGCACAAGTATGAGCAGACCTCCTGAGCGAGTCGATAGCGTCGACATGTATTGGTGTGGCACTACCCTGTTTGTATTTTGCTGCAGAATTGGGGTGTAAAGTAAATATAACTGTATTTTCTATCGATGAAAAGGGATATTTTTATCTTCTCCACAGAAGAAAAGGGAGAACCTCCCAGCACATTATTTTTGGGCAGATCTCAGAGATTATAGTGCGTGCATACACTCATTATGTATTGTGTTGCGTGTTGCTGAAAGGGTTTTTTTGCTTGTCCGGTTGTTATTGATTATCACTCCAGTAGGATTATGGTTAATTTAGCGTATGGGTTGTCTCTCACTCTTTTCTTTTTTTTTTCTTCTGGAGGGGGTGAATGTCTTTGAGGACAAGACGAAAGAGGTTGATTTTAACAAGAGGATTAGGGTAGATACATGTAAAACAGTTAAACGGTAAATGAATGCATATCTTATTTCTCTCTAAGTGGTGGAGAGGGGTGCTTATAAATGAGGGATGGGGGTATTCATCAAAATACTTGTAATATAATTGCAATTGCAAAAGTCTTACACCCTCTCGACATAATTTGGACCATTCAGGAGGCGAGCCGAAAGTCAAAAGTCCTAAGGATAAATACACTGCGAAAGTGACAGAGAGGGAGGATTAGGCGCTGAAATAAAGGCCCGCATTGGAAGGGCACAGACTGCATTTATTTCTTTGAAGATGATTTGGAAGACCAGGGATATCTCACTACGGACAAAGCTGAGAATGTTCAACTCAAATGTGAAGTCAGTGTAGTTGTATGGATGTGAGACATGGAACGCATCTCATATGTGCATAAGGAGGATCCAGGTTTTCTTGAACAAGTGTCTGAGAAAGCTACTGGGGATCAGATGGATAGACAGGATCACCAACGAGGAAATATTAAGAAGAATGAGACAGAGCCCAGTCAGAGATGAGGTGGGAAGAAAGCGTTGGCGATGGATTGGACACACTTTCAGGAAGTCAAGCAGCTGCATAACAAGGAAAGTGTCAGATTGGAACCCACAGGGTAAACGATCAAGGGGAAGACCGCATGGAACCTGGAGAAGACTCACGGAAATGGATGTACAGAAAGGTGGGAAGGCATGGAGTGACATCAAGCGACTAGCCCAGGACAGGGAAAAGTGGAAAGTGTTTGTTCGTGGCCTATATCCTGATCCAGGGTGAGAAAGGCAATGATGATGACCAGGAGGCGGGCTGTTTCGACCCGGCCTGTTAGAGCAGAAAGACGGAAAGATACGGTACTTGCCAAACAGTATCCCACATCCTAGCAGAAAGACAGAGATACTCGACGAAAATGCCTCCCCTCTAAATACTCTAATTCTCAGGAGTCGAACTAGGGTCTCCTACATGTGACAGCGAAGCGCTTTATCGTAAGACACTGCGCCACATCAGATTTACACTATCTGCCCAAAACCTAGTTTTGAGACATTTGACGCCAAAGATTTTGAGTTTCATAACATGCCACCCTTTTCGGAATGCATTTCTTTGACTTTGAATACCCGAATAACGACTCCGAATAATCTAACGATTTTGATAGAACTTACAGAGCGTTTGGTTTCTGAACTCATGGTCTTAGTAATTCAAAACGGCCAAAATGTCAGATAGAACCTTGTAAATCTGAGGTAGCGACTGGTTGTCCCATACTCTTGGGAAAAGGCGTTTATTTTCACTAATCATGATACGGCCCTGTCGACAAATATAATTAGATAATGTATATAAGAATGTCGTGTGTAATGCATGTATGATGTTTATATTCACGTATAATTATGATAAATGTAGAAAATTTGTGCTACAACTTGTACACATTCCAAGCTCCAGTGGTCTGCAGCCACGACATGTTCTGCCTCGACTGCTTCTGTTGGTAGAGAGAGAGAGAGAGAGACACCACGTGATCTCGTAGTCTCCACCCCCCCTCCCCCAACACGCACACTTCCTCACTCCAAATGCCTACTTCATGATTCCAGTCATGTCTGGGTACTTGAGGGGAAGAGCACAATACAGGCTTGTAATGTTGTTATTGCGGGAGAACAAGATCTCGTCACGCGCGGCCGCCCCCGCCACCGTCACCGCCTTCAGTGGGTGGGTGGAGACAATGTTTGTTTTTCCTTCCCTGTGCTCATTGTTTTCCACACGTCAACGGATCTACGCCGGGTACGGTGTGGCGGGTCCCGTGTTTGATCGCTGGGGCGCTAATGGTGTCCTGCCCGATAAATAGGTATACAGGAACTTTGCTCTTGATTTAGGAGGGTGGTATGATTAAACATGTTGGGCTTTATTTTATAAGTTAGTGATCTTGTTGAAGGGTAAGAAGTAAGGCTGAACACATCCTCAACACATGTAATCGTTGTCTTTCTAGTTTTTACGTCCCCATCGACACAATTGAGATATTTTGAGAGGACTGCTGTTTCGGCCCTGTGTGCAAGCGCCGCCGCTTGTGGAGGGAGACAAGTTATGTTATATACCAGCAGACAGAAGCAGGTACTTAATCGAATAGCTTCTC